GATGACTTTTTGGTGGTAATAGGTGGCTTCCTCTACTCGTATTTGGCTGTTAATTTTTTTCTACACTTTTTGGAGTATTTTGTGCAAGATTATGCATTAAAATCGTCTGCCTAAGAAAAATTGAATATCTTTAAATATATTGTTCGAGTAGTTCAATTATTATGTTTCATATAAACAAAACAAAATGACATTCAGTCTGTCACTTCATTTGTCGCGTTCGACCTGACTATATACATCCTATTTTTGTTATTATAATTAGTTTTAAAAATTTCATTAAATTATTTTCTTCAAGCAAAATTTTTCTTGGCTCTGGTGGTATAAAAATTTTTCATTCAATGTTTTAAAAAGCGTTTTACTATAATTATAATTAAAAAAAATTCAATGCTATTTGTCATTTTGGAATGACTTTTACAATTTGTCAGTTTCAGACAAACGATTTAGAAAATTCGTTAACCTAACCTATAAATGTAGAGGTTAAAATTAAGTATTTGGTTTTAAATTATAATATAAAGAATAGATAAATGATATATAAATAAAATAAATTTTTTTTTGATTATGTACGCGAATAATTTTCTTGTATATAAATTATAAATTAATAATCATAATATATAAAAAAAGGTAGGATGGAAATTAAATAAAAGTTTAGAATGATTTACTATTAGTAATATTAATTGATTTAGGTGTGCATAACTAATTACTAATTTAAACTTCAAAAATTATTGCAAATTTTGTAATGATTATTTTTTCATTAATTTTATCTATTTATTAATAATTATTATTATTATTAATTAATTATTATTTATTAAACATAATAATGTGTAAATATTAATAAATATTCATTTTTTACCTAATTCGATTTATATTTATAAATATTTAAAAAAATAAAAATTTATTTTATTTATTGTATTATTATTTATTTGATGATTAAAATTATTAAATTTTTATTAATAAAAAAAATATAAACAAAAAATATAAAAACACGTAAAAAAAATCAAGAACAGAATATATAATTGTTAAAATAATTAAATATAAAAGAATTTCGTTGACAAAAAATAAGAATAATTTTAAAAAAATAAATAAAATTGTAAAATATATCGAAAAATTAAATGCACTTATATATACAGTTGACAAAATAGTTTATCACTATTGAGAAAAATCTTTATTTACATATAAAAATCACAAGAGTTACACATTCATTGACTTTTTTTGCGATTATTTGCTTGCACAATGGGAAAATATCAATAAAAATAAAAAAAAAAAAAAATTAACTCGATTTTTGAACTGCTGGAAAAATTAAAGCAGACATTACGAGCAAAAAAAAAACGATGGCAATATAAATGATTGTATAATAATTATTATAATAGTAGTAATAATAATTATTAAAATATTAATAATAATAATAATATAAGCAAATTGTCGCTTATTGTTACAAAAAAAAAATTTTTGTAACAAACAAAAAAATATTTTATTGTCTAGATTAACATTTTTTTTTGTTTTTTGTACAAAATTCGATATACGATTTGTTAAACGAATCGCTTTTTATTATTTTTTTTTAAATAAATTGCTATATTGCATTTTTTTTATTATATAATATTGCATAGTTTTTAATTGTATATATATTTAATATTAATATACCACAATATAATTAATTCTTATTATGAGATAAAGATGGAAAAAAAAGCTGGGGTCTATTTTGTCCATTAGGATGCTGGATTCTTCGAATGTGTGTGTTTGGCGTTTAGAGATAATGATGATCAACCTGTAAAAAAATATTTATTTTTAATTAGTTTATTTTTTTTCGTAAAATTAATTTGAAATTAAAAGATAAAAAATATAAAAGTGGAAAAATTTTTTTAAAAAATTTATTTATGTAGAATAGAATAGTGTAAGTATAAGAAAGATATAAGGGAAAAAAAAGACTGTGCGTTCGTGGTTTGGTGGTTAGCGTATCGACTTGCGGGCGTTAGGGTCGAGGGTTCGATTCCCAGCGCTAGGGGATTTTTTCAAAATTAACGATTATAATTTCCGTTTCTTAGAGAATACAATGTTAGTTGAAATTAGTAGTATTTGCATATAGTGATAATTGCAACAATTGATGAATAATAAATAAATAATAAATAAATAATAAATAAAAAATTTAAAAAAAAAACAAAAAAATTACTAATAAATAATGAATAAAAAATAAATAGCAAATAAAATAAATAAATAAATAAAATTAAATAATAAAAAAATAGTAAATAAAATAGTAATCAATAAATAATAAATAAATAAAAGTAAATAAAGAAAGTAAATAATAAATAAAAAAATAATAATAAATAAATTCTAAATAAAAAAAGTAAAAAATAAATAAATAATACTAAATAAATTGTAAATAAAGAAAGGAAATAATAAATACAAAAATAATATGTCAATAAAAATAAATAAGTTCTAAATAGAAAAAGGAAGTAATAAATAAAAATAAATTCTAAATAAAAAAGTAAAAAATAAATAGTGAATAAAATAGTAATTAATAAATAAAAATTAAATATTAAATGAATTAAAATAAATAAATGGTAAATAAAAAATGTAAATCATAAATAAATAAATAGTAAATAAAAAAGTAAGAAATAAATAATAAATAAATGAAAATAAATAAAAATAAATAATTAGTGAATAAAATAGTAAGTAATAATTAAATAATAAATAAATTAATATAAATTAACAATAATTAAAAATATGTAAATATAATAAATAAATAAAAATAAATGAAAAATTAAATAAAGGAATAAAATTAAAAAAAAAAACATTCTAAATTTTTTGGAAATAGTTTTTTGAAATAAAAATAATTTTGTTTTTTTTTCCAAAAAATTAATTTTATTTACCTCTTCTAGGTGGTGGATTTCCATTTCCCAATTCATTCTCTTCAGGATGAGCAAGAATCCAAGCGAGAGCTTTTTGAATTTCTGGTGGAATTGGAGGTGGCGTTGGTACATGAGAGCCTTGAACTTGATAACCATTTTCATCGGCGACAAATGTTATGCTCACTCTTTCACCTTCCGGTGATGTATAAGAATTTGAACCTTGAGCAACGACTGGAGTTTCCTGATCAACTTGCTTTGTTTGTCCCGATTCCTGATGGCTGATACCATTGCTCGTTTCAAAACTGCAAGGAACAAAAATAGTGAGTTTTTTTTGTAATTAAAAATTTTTTTTAAATAAAAATTATTTATTACTAATTATTTTTTAATAACTAATTATATGATTATTATTTATTTAAATTATTCAATTAATTATTAGATAATTAATTAATTATTATTGAATTAATTATTAGATAATTAGTTAATTATTATTTAATTAATTAATTTTAAAAAATAATTAATTAATTTTAATTTTGGTGATTTTGGAAAAATTATAAATAAACTCCCCTACCCCTAAAAAAAAAAAATTAAAATTAAAAACAATTTCTTACTTATTAACGTAAGATCCATCGTGATTAACCTCAAGTTGCTGTGAGGTGATGACTGCATCTTTTTCAGATCCACTTTGAGGTCTCTGAGGTGCACTTAAAATTCCGGTCGCACACAGTGCGACCACAAAGGCCTGTAATTAAAAAAAAAAATTATTTATAATTTATACCTTCTTACATTGGAATAATTATACCAAAAAAAAAAAAATTAATGAAGTTACTAAATATTTATTTTTTTTATATAACTAAAAAATAATAATTTTTTTCCTTTAGCAAATTCCTCTCATTTTGGGAGGAACGTTTTATTTCAATAAAAAAAAAATATCCTCTTATTTTAAGAAGAACGTCTTTTTTAAATATGAAAAATTTCTCATTATAAGAGAAAGGTTTTATTTCCATACAAAAATATATCCTTTCATTTAGAGAGGAATATCTTTTTTTTAATTAAAGAGTATCCTCTCATTTTGAAAGAATGTATTTTTTTAAATAAAAAAATATTTTTTAAGAGCAACATTTTCTTTCCATGAAAATATATCCTTTTATTTTGAGAGGAACTTTTTTAAATTAAAAAAAGTTTCCTCTTACTCTGAGAGGAATGTTTACTTGCAAATTAACAGTATCCTCTCATATTGAGAGGAAAGTTTTCTTTCGATAAACATTATCCTCTAATATTAAAAGGAATGTTGTCTTTCAAAAAAAATATATATATATTTCCTCTCGTTTTAAGAGGAACCCTATTATATTAAATAAAAAAGTATTTTCTCATTTTTTGAGAGTAACGGTTTCTTTCCATAAAAATAAATCCTTTCATTTTGAAAGGAACGTCTTTAAATAAAAATAAAAAGTTTCCTCTTATTCTGAGAGGAACGTTTTCTTTCAATTAACAGTATCCTCTGATTTTAAAAGGAACGTTTTTTTTCGATAAACAGTATCCTCTAATATTGAAAGGAATTTTGTCTTTCAAAAAAAATATATATCCTTTCATTTTAAAAGGAACGTTCTTTTTCGATAAACAGTATCCTCTAATATTGAAAGGAATTTTGTCTTTCAAAAAAAATATATATCCTCTCATTTTAAGAGGAACGTTTTCTTTAAATAAAAATATATCCCCTTATTTTGAGAGGAACGTCCTCTTTAAATAAAAAAATCCTCTCATTATGAGAGGAACGTCCTCTTAAAATAAAAAATCCTCTCATTATGAGAGGAATGTCCTCTTAAAATAAAAAAATCCTCTAATTATGAGAGGAACGTTTTCTTTAAATAAAAAAGGTATCCTCTCAATTTGAGAGGAATTTTTTTCTATTACAAAAATAATTGAAAAAAAAATTATTATTATTTAAAATTAATAATTTATAGAATTAAGATAGAAAAAAACTAAATTCCTAAAAAATTATTTAAATTAATAAAAAAATAATTAAAAAAAAAATTTTTTTCGTGAAATTATTTCTATTTATTTGCTCTCGATTAAATGATAGTTGAAATAGATTGAAAGATATGTATATATGTATATGTAAATTGGTAAATGTCAGTATAAGTGTAAGTCAAACTCTCACTGTGTTTGATATTATAATGTGTGTAATGCTTCACTTATTTTCCATTTCCATTGAGTGAAAGTGATAAATGTGCTTGTAACTTGTAAACTCGTGCTTCAAACTCACTAATGACTATTAGCTTCTTATAGTGATTTGGTTACAATTTATACTTTTATATGTCACAATTTCTCAATCCTTTTTATATCAATAAAAATCTATCGACACGTTTTTTGATTTAAAAAAAATTTTTTTTTTTCATTTTTATTGATCCAGATTAAGAAATTTTTAATATTTAATTAAAAACTGTGCTTTCTGTGAGAAGGAAGTGTTTTATTTTTTTTATATTTACAATCTTTTGAATCAAAAAATTAAATGTTAAAACACCAAAAAAATTTTTTATTACAAGGAATTTAAATTTAACTTTCTGCGAGAAGGTGGAGTTTGTTTTTTAAAACTTCTCCTTCACACAGAAAGAAAAATTCAAATTAGTAGTATTCTATAATAATTTTTTTTTTGGGTTTTGATATTTACTTTTTTTGTATTTTGATATTTAATTTTTTTTTAATTCAAAAGATTATAAAGATAAAAAATAAATTTAAACTCCTCCTTCTCACAGAAAGCAGTGTTTTTAATTTTTAGCCTTGAAATACAAAAAAAAAATTGTTGTCTAAATTGAAAAAATAAATAAATTAAAATTGACAGTGAGCTACAAATGAGCTACTTTCTATGAGTAGGAGAAGTTTGAAAAAAAAACCCTAAAACTTTACCTCTTCTCAGAAAGGATAATTTTAATTCCTAGCATTTTTTTTTAATTTTAGCGTTTACAATTATTTCCAAAGATTTCAGAGATAAAAAAATCTTTAAAATAAATTTAAACTCTTCCTACTCACAGAAAGCAATGGTTTAATTTCACTTTTAAAAAAATGGAGAGTAAATTGAAAAAAATTAAAGTTAACTGGATCAAGACAAAAGGAAATTAAAAAAATTTGAATGAAAAAATTTCAAACTCCACCTTCTCACAAAAAGCAAGATTTTAAATCGTAGTAGTCTATTTTTTTAAAAAATTTATTTTTTCTTGTATATTTTTTTTATAATTCCATATAATAGCAATAAAAAGAAATCAATAGTAAATAGTAAATGAAATAGTAAATAAAATAGTAAATAAAATAGTAAATAAAATAGTAAATAAAATAGTAAATAAAATAGTAAATAAAATAGTAAATAAAATAGTAAATAAAATAGTAAATAAAATTGTAAATAAAATAATAAATAAAATAATAAATAAAATAGTAAATACATAAAAATAAAAAATGTATACATTTTTTTTTTGAATGAAAAAAAAAAATTGTAATCCAACATTCATCCTGGAATTCGACCTTATGTTATATTAAACAAAGCATCTTTCATAATCTCTCCGCATCTTATTATTGTAAATTGCAAATATATATGTAGAATCGTATTATAATAGATAGCATCCTCCTATATTACAAGTGAGCAATTTCTAAAATTTTCCACACTTATCGTAATTTTCTATATGATTTTTAGGGCGTGTCGCGAATTGTTGATACAAAACATTTTCAGTTTTTTATAATGAGTTTGCTATATTGATCACATATATATATATATATATAATTTCTTCAGAATCCGTGAGTGTTAGTCAATATTTATTGAAAAATGTGTCAATAAAAATTTTTTTTCTGTAATTATTATTATTATTATTATTATTATTATTATTATTATTATTATTATTATTATTATTATTATTATTATTATTATTATTATTATTATTATTATTATTATTATTATATTATAATTATAATTATATTATAAGAATGAAATAAATAATATTTGTTTTAATAATAATAACTATTTAATTAATTAATTAATTCGAAATAAAGTAAATTATAATTATTAATAAATTAATTATTAATTATTGACAGTCTCTCTGTAAAAAAAAAACTAAAATTAATTACTAGTATAATTTTCTATTTATTTTTTATAAAAAAAAAAAAAAAAAAAATTTATACTCTTCTCGTCATTATACTATATAGTAAATAATGTTGAATTTAAAAAAAATATATAAATTTATCCTTCTTAAAGTTAACATTTTGATATTAGATTTTGAAATCAATTATATAAACAATTTAATAAGAATTTAATTAGAAAATTATAATTTAAATTATATGGAAATTCAATAAACTTGATAAATAATGTTATTGCAAAAAAATAAGTATGATAACAAATTATTAATAATTACCTAATAATAATAATTATTTTTTTTTATTATTATTATTATTATTAATATTATTTTTACTATTATACCTATTTATATTTATAATTATAATTATAATAATAATAATTACTGATTTTAAAACTAAACCGGGGCTATTCTACTCAACCTTCAGGGGCTATTATACTCAGTGCCAGTTTTTATTTCATAAAATTTATATTAAAAATAATAATAATAATAATAATTACTCATTTTAAAACTAAACCGGGGCTATTCTATTCAACCTTCAGGGGCTATTATATTCAGCGCCAATTTTTATTTTATAAAATTTATATTGAAAATAATAATTACTGTTTTGAAAACTAAACCGGGGCTATTCTATTCAACCTTCAGGGGCTATTATATTCAGCGCCAATTTTTATTTTATAAAATTTATATTGAAAATAATAATTACTGTTTTGAAAACTAAACCGGGGCTATTTTACTCACCCTTCAGGGGGCTATTATACTCAGCGACAGTTTTTAATTAATAAAATTTATATTGCAAATAATAATAATAAGAATAATAAGAATAATAATTACTGATTTTAAAAACTAAACCGGGGCTATTTTACTCACTCTTCAGGGGCTATTATACTTAGCGCCAATTTCTATAAAATTTATATTGAAAATAATAATAATAATTACTGATTTTAAAACTAAACCGGGGCTATTCTACTCACCATTCAGGGGCTATTATACTCAACGCCAGTTTTTATTTCATAAAATTTATATTGAAAATAATAATAATAATAATAATAATAATAATAATAATAATAATAATAATAATAATAATAATAATAATAATAATGAAAATAATAATAATAATAATAATAATAATAATAATGAAAATAATAATAAATAGCTAAATAAATAAAATAAAAATAATAAAATATGAAAAAAAATTTTTAATAATGTGTAACATAAAATTATTATGTAGACGATGAGAGAGTGTAAAATTTAAATAACAGAGATATATATATATATATTTATATAAATTATACTAATACGTAATTTTCTTTAATGAATAGTCTGAAAATTGAACTTTCTTTAAAGAAATTACATTTGCACTTCAAAATGTCATTTCGACTGACGTAAGTCGAGCTAAAGTTTTCCAAGCATTATCTTCTCTCGCCCTTTTAAAACATTCTCGTCTATATAATATCCTTTAAAGATTCTAAAGAATGTTAAACTCAACATATGACATTTATCTCAATTTATAAAATTAACAGAAATTTTTTTTTTTTTAATTAAAATAAAAATTAAATAAAAAGCTATAAAAAAAAATTCTATTTGTTAATTACTCAAAATTGTTAATTAATTAAATTTGTTAATTTGTCAAATTTTTTTATTAGTTCCTTTTGTTAATTATACAAAAAAAAAAAAAAAAAAATATTTACCTGGAACAACGAAACGTTTCACTATACAATAGCAAAAGTTTTATGTACTTATTTCAGTTAAATCTTTCGCTATTTCAGGTAAATATCTTTTTTTTCTGGGTGAACTAAAATTTGTTTATTAGTTAAATTTCTTTATTAATTAAATTTGTTAATTAATAATAATTAGTTAAATTTATTTATTTTAAAAAAGAAAAAAAAAATTTTTTTTCGAGATATTTTTTGACAAGAGATAAAATTTTGTTATATTATAGAAAAAAAAAAAAAAGTATAAAGAAAAGTTGAAAAAAAAACCTTGTATATGTGTTTATCTATTTTTAAAAAAAAAGAGAATTAAAAAAAAAAACCTTCAACATCTCTCAATGTCTCCTAATAACTGAGAATCATTTCCAATAAATCATATCCTTTAATTATTAGTTTCATGCTGAAAAACTTATGTCAGAGTTTCACACTTTACCAAAGTTCATATATATATATATATATACACACATATAACCCAGCAATTAATTCTATTATTTCACTTCCTTATTAAACTGTTTGCAAAAAAAAAAAACAAATTTCAACAAAACGAAAAAAAATAATAATAATAATATTTAATTAATTGATTAATTAACATAATTCAATAATATTTATAATAAATATATAATATTCTACTTTTATCTGGTAAATGAATGATGCATTTATGTGGGTGCATTACAACATTCTTATAATATAAATTGTCGGAACTATTATATTCCTTTCGTGCGCGAGTTCATTCATTTCTGCATAGATCATTCACGCTCAAGGAATATTAATTTTTTTTTATTATTATTACTATTATTATTACTATTATTATTACTATAACAATTATTATTAATAATATGTAAGTAAGTTAACCTTCTTTTTAAAACCTCAATTCAAATAAAGAAGAGAGATAATTTAAAAAAAGCAAAAAAATTGAAAAAAAAAAAAACCGAGGGCAGTTACTTCCACACTTTCAATTTTTAAGAAATTATAATCAAAGTTTTGTCCCCCTCGACAAAATTTGTCCCTACGCCCCTGAAAACGCTAAAAAAAATTTAAAATTAATAAAAAAAAATTGCGAATTTAAAAATTAATTTTTTTTTGTATGGAACAAATTAATTTTAAAAATAAAATACCCACTTGGAAAGATTCCCTGGAAAGTGCACTCTGGAGGTTCTATCAGAATTCCGCCGGAACTTCAAACATAATTCCGTCGGAATTCCATCGGAGTTCCAAAGATTTTCCGACGGAATTCCGATTAATTTTTTTCAAAATTTGTAGAGTCCTAATTCCGTCGGAACTCCGTCGGAATCCCATCGGAAATTCTTTGGAACTCCAATGGAATTCCGACGGAATTACGTTAGAAGTTCCGGCGGAATTCTGATAGAACCTCCAGGGGGTACTTTTCGGGGAATCTTTCCAAGTAGGTAATAAATAATAATAGTAATAATAATATAAATAAAAAATTATAAAAATGCAAAAAAATGTATATATATATATATATATATATATATATATATATATATAATAATTGCTTGGAAGATGGGAAATCTTGACTCAATTGAAATAAACAGCAAACATAGAAATCTTATGTCGACACCGCAAATGTTATGTTAACTTGTCTCCAAGCGTTAAGCAGTATATTATTTACACACATTTTCAGTGTAATCTTGCCACCACATTAGGAGAGCAAAAAAAAAAATAATTCATATAATAACCACCACAAAAGGACCATATTTAAAAATGTTGCGTCTCCATTTACCCCAACTGACCCTATATAATATATATATATATATATAATATAAATATAATAATACAAAATTTTTTGGCTTAATTTGTGGTGGTTGTGATAAAAAAAATATAGGTTATGTTCATGATCGTTTTTATTCGAAAAAACATTTTGATATAAAACGACAATTCGTTCACAAAAAAATTTATTCTAATCAAATACTTTAAAAAAAAAAAATTTAATTACTTATAATTATAATTATTTCCCAGATTCTAATATTTTCTTCTTTTTTGTTTCAGAAACGACTATATTATGGACACACAAAAGAGAATTTGAAGAAAAAGTGAAGTGGTTTTTTAAAAAAAACAAGGTTTGTTTTATATTAATGATGAATAACAAAAAAACATTTAAAAAAAACAACACTTAGGTTCACTTTGAATTTCCAACGTATTTCCGTCGAAATTCCATCAGAGTTCCAAAGAATTTCCGATGAGATTCCGACGGAATTCCGATTAATTTTTTTTCAAAAATTTAGAATCCTAATTCCGTCAGAATTCCGTCGGAACTCCGTCGGAATCCCATCGGAAATTCCTTGGAACTCCGATGGAATTTCAACGGAATTACGTTGGAAGTTCCGGCGGAATTCTGATAGAACCTCCAGGGGCAACTTTTCGGGGAATCTTTCCAACTGGGTAGCCTAGGCTGAATGGCAGAATAATTCTATTTCAATCGAAAATCTATTTTTTTCCCTCTTTTTCAAGAAAAAAAAATTATTCTCATATTGAGAGGAAATATATATATATATATATATATATATAATAATATAAATATAATAATAAAAAAATTTTTTGCTTAATTTGTGGTGGTTGCGATTAAAAAAAATATAGGTTATGTTCATGATCGTTTTTATTCGAAAAATCATTTTGATATAAAACGACAATTCGTTTACAACAAAATTTATTCTAATCAAATACTTTAAAAAAAAAATTAAATTACTTATAATTATAATTATTTCTCAGATTCTAATATTTTCTTCTTTTTTGTTTCAGAAACCACTATATGGACACATGAATGAGAATTGAAAAAAAAGTGAAGTGATTTTTAAGAAAACAAGGTTTGTTTTATATTAATGATGAATAACAAAAAAACATAAAAAAAAACAACAACAACACTTAAGTCCACTTTGAATTAGAGGCTGACTATTTGCTTTTGAATATTTCTTACTTGTTAGTTGTTTACTTTTATTAATTTTACAGTGTCCCAATTCAATCGAATTTTATTTTTCATTTAAATTTTTAAATAACAAATTCAATTTTCACCAAATTTCAAATTTGTCCGAATTTTTTTTTATTCCTATAAATTTTTAATTCTGGGATTTTTTTGAGACGCCAAATTTTCAATTTGTCCGAAATTACAAATAAAAAAAATCGATAGAAAAAGATTTCTTCTCTAAATGAGAATAATATTCAAAAAAAAAAAAATAAAACTTATTTTTTTAAAAAGAAGACTAATTTAAGAATGTAATTAGAGATTATTTTCTTAAAAGACAAGATTATATTCTAAAATTTAGAATATTCTCTTCATTTTTCTCAAGAGCCAACTTTTTATTCTTAAATTGAGAATCTTTTTTTTCATTTTCTTAAGAGCCAACTTTATATTCTTAGATTGAGATTATTTTTTTTTCAATATACTAGAGGTGGAAAAAAATGTCCTTGCAAAAAAAAACCACCTTTAAAATAAATTTCAAAAATAACAAAATTAAAAAATTTCTATAGCAACAAAAAAAAAATTTTTTACACAAACCCCCCTTCCCCCTTAAAAAAACTTGGAACAATCCTTAAAAAAAAAAAAAAACACATTTCTTCTTCATTGAATTTGCACTTTTCGCGTGACGATAACAAAAGTTTTTTTTTTTTAATTTTGATGAATATTTCTAATGGGGGCCGGGGGGGGGGGGGAATGGGTTGCAAAAGTCCTTCACGAAAACTATAACTGCAGTCAAAAAAGAGCACTTACAATTTTTTTTTTTTTTTTTTTTTTTTCTTTAAATTTCTGGGGAATTAAAATTCTTACCTTAAGGGTGTACATAATTTAATTTTTTAAACACTGTTGTTGCAAAAAAATTTTTTTTTTTTAATTATAAAAAAAACGAATAATAATGAAAAAAAAAATTAAAATAAGAAATAGAAGAAAACTTTATAAGATGCAAGATGACGATGATTGGATACGTTTGTGGTTCTTTGTAAGAGGCGAGGCTCTTTATATACACATAGTGTGCCTTATGAACGGTAATGGTTAAGAGTGAAAGGGGTCATCCCTGCCCTCATCTTTACAATGCACTTCTTTATGACCAGTGCATCATGAAAATCAATCGACCCCAATCGATCTAGATATCCGCGCAACGGTTTGTCCAACCCCCCCATAATACTATATTGCCTATCTATCTATATATACATAAAAGGATACCGACAATGTCGAGGCTAAAGCTTCAAGGGGAATTGCCCCCTTCCCCCCCACCCCCTTCTTTTTTCCATTTGACTTTCTTAACTCAGTTCGACTATGTATAATTTTCATTGCAAAGAAATTACCTCTATATATATACATATATATATGTGATATTTTATGCGAAAAGAATAAGAAAAAAGAAAATTATTCTCAAATTGAGAGGAAAATTATATTTTTAATAGTACCTAATTCTACCCATTTGGAAAGATTCCCCGGAAAGTGTCACCCCCCCCCCCGGAGGTTCTATCAGAATTCCGCCGGAACTTCCAACTAATTCCGTCGGAATTCCATCGGAGTTGTAAAGAATTTCCGATGAGATTCCGACGGAATTCCGACGAAATTAGGACTCTGAAAATGTTGAGAAAAATAATTAATCAGAATTCCGTCCGAATCCCATCGGAAATTATTTAGAACTCCGATGGAATTTCGACGGAATTACGTTGGAAGTTCCGTCGGAATTCCATCGGAGTTCCAAAGAATTTCCGATGAGATTCCGACGGAATACTGATTAATTTTGTTCAAAATTTGTAGAGTCCTAATTCCGTCGGAACTCCGTCGGAGTTCCAAAGAATTTCCGATGAGATTCCGACGGAATACCGATTAATTTTTTTCAAAAATTTTAGGTTCCTAATTCCGTCGGAATCCCGACAGAATTCTGTCGGAACTTCGGCGGAATCCCATCGGAAATTCTTTGGAACTCCTATGGAATTTCGACAGAATTACGTTGGAAGTTCCGGCGGAATTCTGATAGAACCTCCAGGGGGCACTTTTGGGGAAATTCCGTCGGAATCCCATCGGAAATTCTTTGGAACTCCGATAGAATTCTGACGGAATTATTATTAATTATTAATGGTAGAATAAATTTTTTTCAATAAAAAAAACTACTTTTCTCCTCTTTTTCAAGAAAAAAAAAATTATTCTCATATTGAGAGGAAATTTTTTTTCTCTTTTTCAATAAAAAATTATTCTCATATTGAGAGGAATTTGTTTTTTCTGATAATGTCACTTTTCTATCCTACACTCAAAGGAAGAATAATCATCTTTAAATATAAAAGATACATTTTTCCTTCTTCTTTTTTGAGATATATTCTTCATTTGAGAGGAAAATATAACTTTTAATATTGTAAACAATTTTATATTTTTAAATAAGATTATAAAACTGTATATAATTAATTATTTTATATTTTAAACACAAAAGTATTAAAATTCAATTTTATTTTCTTCTTATTTTAAGAGGATAACAATAATAGTACCAAGAAGAATATTCTTCATTTAAGAGGAATTTTTACTTTATATAATTGTTTAAAAAAAAAAATTATTTTCAACGGGAGTATTACTATTCTTCTCATAGAATATTACTCTTATATTGAGAGGATTGTAAACAGTGAAATAAGAAAAAATATTCTTTATTTAAGAGGAAAATTTGTTTTTTTAAAATTGTTTACAATTTTATTTTTTAGACAAGAGTATATAACTATAATTTTAAACTATTTTATAATTTTAAACAAGAGTATTAGATTATTTAAGTATTTTCATCTTATTTTAAGAGGATAGTAATTATATGATGCAGAAAAAATATTCTACATTTAAAAGGAAAATTAATGTTATAAAATACTCTACAGTTATCTTATTTATAAACAACTGTATTGCTATATTCAAACTTATATACTATTTTCCTCTTATTTTAAGAGGATTGTAATTATTGCATTAATAAAATATTCTTAATTTAAGAGGAAATATTTGTTTTATCAAATTCTTTACAATTTTTCAATATATTAAACGCAAGTATTACTAATATTTAAACTTATATACTATTTTCCTCTTATTTTGAGAGGATATTAGTAGTAGAAGCGTGATAAATATTCTTCATTTAAGAGGATATTTATTTTATTCAAAAATTTACCAGTTTCTCTAGAATCGACAATTTATGGCTATGAAAATTAATTTTCCCTAGTCTAAATTAAAATAATTTTCCTCTCTATTTGAGAGGAATTTGAAAAACAAATTCTTTTTTCAAATTAACTATAATAATTTTTATTTCTTAAATAAGAATTAATTTATTAAAAAAAAAAATGTTTTCTTTCTCCTAATCGATAAAAAAAACTTTTTTACACAAAGCTGATATTCTTATTTAAAGAGGAATATACTAAACTAAGATTAATACTTTTGTTTTGAGAGTATAGACTAAAAATTCTAAATTGAAGAAGAATATATTTCAATTGGTTTTCCTTTCAAAAAATATGTGTATAAAGTCTACTTTGATAGATACTCTTATTTTGAGAGGATAGAGTAAAAATATTGTAAAATAGTCATTTTAGTATTAAAAATAATATAAAAATTCCGTTTTTTTTTTGCTAAATTTTTTTTAGCAATAAAATTGTGAAATAACAAATGTAAGTTTTGAAAAAAATTTGTTGACAAATTATTGTGCTTTTGGGTCAAAAGTGTTGTGTAAGCAAATATACAAAGTAACAAACTTTATAAAGAATATATATATATAGAATGTAGAGAAGATTAAAGGAAAAATTATACATGTTTTATATATGAGGGATAAGAAAAATGTCTATAAGACGCATAGTAAAGGTTAAGGTACAAAAGGTGATTGACGTTGAAAAAAAAATAGTGAGCAGAAGATATATCATTTCTAATTCAATTTTTCCATATAGATTATAATTATTTATTTCTAATTGAATATTTTCATATAGAAAATAACTATCCTCTCAGAATAAGAGGAAAATAATTAAATAATAATAATACCCCTTTTTTAAAATATAAAATTTTAAAGAATTTAATAAAATAAATTTTTCCTCTTAATTGAAGTATATATTTTCCGATTCTATAATTACTATTCTCTCATAATAAGAGGAAATTTAGTTACATAGTAATACACTCGTTTAAATATATAAAAAATAGTTGAATAGTAATATTCACGTTTAAAATATTAAAATTGTAAATAAATTTTCCTCTTAAATAAAGAATATTGTTTTAGGTCCTTTTTCTTATTATCCTCTCAAAATAAGGGAAAAATAGTAAAAATTAAATATAGTAATATTATTGTTTATAAATAATAAAATTGTAGACTATATCATAACATAAATTTTCCTCTTAAATGAAGAGTATTTTTTTCAGTCCTCTTAAAAGAAGAGGAAAATATTTACAATTAAATAGTAAAATCGTCTCAATCGAAAAAAAAATCAAAAATTGTAAAAAATGCAACAAAATTTTCCTCTTAAATGAAGAATATTCCTCTTGGGACTGTAATTACTCTCAAAATAAGAGGAAAATAGTTAAAGTTGAATAGTAACAATAAATTTTAATTAACAACTCGCACTATACAAAGAGTATGCAAATACAATTAAAAAAAAAGAACTAATTAATTTGCAATATGATGATTTTATAATTGCACGACAAGGAGCACAAAAGTCAACACGATATTTTCTTCTCGATATTTATGAACCTTTCGATTCTTGTTCGACAATCGATTTATAGGTCTTTTTATATTTATCTTGTTTGTTAGATATATATGTTTCTTAATTAAAAACATTGTTTCATTAAAGTCATAAAATTCTTGTTAACAAATTTTTTTTTTTTTTTTTGGTATGAATGGATCTTCTACACATGGAAGCAAAAAGAACTCTAAATTTAAGAATATTTTCTTGGTTCCTTTTAATGAAGAATATTTTTTTTTGGTTCTATTATTGCTATCCTCTCAAAATAAGAGGAAAATAGTATCAATTAAAAAAAGTAATAGTCTCTCATTAAAAATATAAAATATCGTAGAGTATTTCAAAGATAAATTTTCCTCTAAATTGAAGAATATTCTGGTCTGTTCTATTATCCTCTCAAAATAAGAAGAAAATAGTAAATAATAAAAATAAAAAAAAATTAATAAAGAAAATAGATCAATTTTCCTCTAAATTGAAGAATATTCTGTTCTGTTATATTATCCTCTCAAAATAAGAAGAAAATAGTAGGTATCAATTAAATAGTATAATAGTATAATACTCTCTCTACTATATTTTCTCAAAATAAGAGGAAAATTAGTGTCAGTTAAATGCAGTTATACTCTTGATTTAAAAATAAAAAAATTGTTAAAGATTTTATAAGATCAATGATTATTCAACAAATACTATTTTCCTCTTATTTTAAGAGTAGAAAAATAATAGTACAGAGAAATATATTCTCCATTTAAGAGGAAAAATTATTTTTATAAAATTCTTTACAAATTTTTTTTTATATTTCAAACTAGAGTATTATTATCATATTCAACTGTTATTATTTTCCTCTATATTTTAAACGGAAAGTAATGAGAGGATAGAGAAAAATATTCTTCATTCAAAAGAAAAATCCTTATTAAATCATTTACAAATTTTTTATATTTCAAATTGGAGTATTATTATTGTTATATTCAACTGATACTGTTTTCCTCTTATTTTGAGAGTAATTTGTAATGATAAAAACAATTTAATTAACTTTAAATAAATATTTAAGAATTAAATATATATATTTTTTTAATGTAACAATAAAAGAAAAAAATTTAACATTTTCCTCTTAGATTAAGAATACACGATAATAGTAGTGATAAAATTTCCTCTTAAAATTAGAGTATACTCATAAATAGAAGTTATTATATACTATGTTCGAAAGGGAGAATGAAAGTAAGAAAAATTTCTCTTCCTCTTCGATTAAGAATATAAACTTAGGGAGTGATAAATTTTCCTCTCAAAATAAGAATAT